AATCCCTGCCGGTGGCCGAACACCACGAGCACTCGTCAGAAATGTAACGCCCCTTACCATAATCGCGAGCTTCATCTTTCAAAATAAATGTAAAGACATACCAGCTTTACAATGTAAAGCTGGTATGTGTTTGCAGTACACAAGCCACGGTTAAGACAGCCGAGTCCACTGTGATGTGACCAGGGATCTTATCTATGCACAATCAGCTTGTAACACTCCAAAGAGAAAGGAAAACTTGAAATCGCATCATATGACCCCTTTAAGGTCACATGCTTTTTCAAACCATCCTCTGCTCCGCGATGATTTGTCAGAAGTGGTGGAGAAAACAAGTCCGACCACCAGATGTCACTAATGCACACCGTGTTAAAAGCTTCGAGCAAAGAACCGTTTTTCGGCACAATTTCATGAAAGCCTCAAACGCTTCAGAAAGCCTCGGTTTACCATCACTACATTGTGTGAATGGTGCCTCGCGATATGAGCGTGTCACACGTGAGCGGTTAATCACGTGCGCCGACATGCGGTTGGATCGTTCTTTTCTCTTTACTGTTATCATTGGCATATTGTCAAAGTGTCTAAATCTGACGTTTGGTAATATTTCTATTCAAAATCGCGATTCCTCGATTTCTAAAAAAAAAACATTAAATTCGAATTAATAAAATTTTATATATTTTATTATTCTTCCATGATAAACAAATATTCAAAAAGATGAACATGTTTTATTATACACAACAATTTAACAGCTTTGGGTCAGTCAAGGTTTTTTCCCCCTTATTCAGCAAGGATGCATTCAATTGATCAAAAGTGACAGTAAAGACATTCATTTATATTACAAAATATTTCTATTTTAAATTTAACCTGTTCTTTTGAACTTTCTATTCAAAGAATTCCAAAAATTATCACAGTTTCCATAAAAATGTAGGCAGCTGTTTTTTGTTTCAGCATATCTATAATAATAAGAAAAGTTTCTTGAGCAGAAAATCAGCATATAAAAATAATTTCTGAAAACTGGAGTAATGGCTGCTGAAAATTCAGTTACGCCATTAAAAGAACCTGACCCCAAACCTTTAAACAATGGTGTATTTTTTGTATGTCTAATAGAATAATACATTTTATTATCTTCATTGACGAATTCGCATATGCATGTCAACACCCTGTATATTAGGGAAAATGTGCGAGAAATAGGCAAAGCTGTGTGAAAGTATGTTGAGTAGGTACAGAAAAATACTGACCTCATGCTCTAGATTGCTGTACTCGCCCTCTGTATTTTCTCTAATGATGATGATGTCGATGTTTTTGTGGCGCGTCTGAACTCCAGGAAGTGACTGGCAGTGCATCATATTGGCATACAGATCCAGACTCGTGCTGAGAGAGAGAGAATGTGACAGCTGTGCTGAGAGCGAACGGAGGTGAATTGGTCTAGACACACTGTCATGGGCAGGAGGCCAAATCTGAAGCTCTCTGGCATCACTCATCACATTCAAACTGAGGAGCCCAACAACTTTGTACAACTTTCATATACAGCAGCATAAACATCTGATGGAGCTGGTATAAACAGATCAAGCTCAAAGCTCAATTGGCCAAAAAATAATTTTAAACAAAAAAATTAAATAAAAATTCACAGTTTTTTGATCCTGACACAAAATGACCAGCTAACATTAACTGACTAATCATATCAGCAGCACATGTGAAAGTGTGAATGAGTACTAGTCAGGTGAAATCACTATCATACTCAGACTGTAAGAGCAGACTGATTGCTATAAAAGGAAGGAAGAAGCACTTCCTATCATTGTTTTCTTGTTAGCAATGGTTACCTTCAAAGAAACACGTGCAGCCATCATCGTTTTGCATCAAAATGGCCTTACATGCAAGGAAATTGCTACAAAGAATATTGCACCTGAAAGAACCATTTACCGGATCATCAAGAACTTCAAGGAGAGAGGTTCGACTGCAGTGATTAATTCTTCAGGACGTCCCAGAGTGTCCAGCAAGTGCCAGGACCGTCTCCTCCTGAGGAGTCAGCTACAGAATCGTGTCTCCAGCACTGCAGAGCTTGCTCAGGAATGACAGCAGGTTGGTGTGAGAGCATCTGCACGCACAGTGAGGCCAAGACTTTTGCAAGAACGTCCTGCAAGAGCCACTTCTTCCAACGATCCATGAGCAATCTGGTGATGATCTGTGCTAGGGCTGCACGATAAATCGAAATGGAATCGAGATCGCGATTCGACAGAAGCTGCGATTGTCATGCGTATCTTTCAGTGAAGCACGGTTCTGTGATAAGCAGTAAATCTCCATCCAAAGGCCAGAGGGCGCTCTCATGCTGAAACTCCAAATACGCCTCGCAGAAGAAACCCAGAAAATGCCTATCCTGCAGCTGAATAAACAGAAGATTCAACTGCTTTCATTGATTCAACGTGACTAATAAACACACGACTACGGCAATATACGGTTTATCTGAGTTCTTATTATTATAATTTTCATTCAAATAAAGTATATTTATAATGCAATGCCTTTATCACTGCTTAAATACTTTGAAATATGTTGGTGCCTTATTCTGTGTAAGAAGCCACATCATCTCACAGAAGGATTTATTTCAAACACTCGACTGACTGACGAGTTTGGAGTAAAAAATATGTTATTAAATGTGGTATTTTCACAAGCTTTCAGATGGAGCAGCATTTACTTCACAGAGCCGTAGTTCACTGAGAAGCTATGCAAACAGCTGTCATTATCGCAAACAATCTTTTTTTTGCGTAACTTGTCAGTGAACTACGGCTATGCGTAGTAAATTCTGCTCCATCTGAAAGCACGTGATGATGATTTCCTGCTGATTACAGAACCGGCATTACCATCAAAATGCGCATGACAATCGATTAATCGTGCAGCCCTAATCCGTGCATTTTCCAGCATGATGGAGCATCATGTCACAAAGCAAGAGTTATAAAGAAGTGGCTCGAAGATCATTACATTGAAATTTTGGATCCGTGGCCAGGCAACCCCCCAAATCTCAATCCTATAGAGAACCTGTGGTCCGTCCTCAAAAGGCGAGTGGACAAGCAGAAGCCCACAAATTGTGATCAACTCCAACAATTAATAAGGCAAGAATGGATCGCCATCAGTCAAGATTTGGCCCAGAAGCTAATATCCAGCATGTCAGAGTGGAGAGGTTATGAAGAACAAGGGTCAACACTGTAAATATTGACTTTTGCCAATAAAAGTCTTTAAAACTTCTGATATGCTTATCATTGTTTTTCAGTATACCATAGATACACGTGGAAACAATCTACAAATACTGAAGCAGCAAAACTTTGCAAAACACAAAAATTTTATTGTCACTGCCAAAACTTTTGGCCATGACTGTAATCATTTGTCTTTCAGGCTTACCGTAGAAGATTGTTCCGTGACTTGTGGTTAGGGGGCATTGTGTGGTTAGTCTCAACGTTTCCTGGAAAAAAAAAAAAGAGATGAAAATGAAAACTAGTTTTGTTATCTAACAAAAATAGCTTGTCAATTACTATCTGGATGTACAGACCCTTAAGAGCAACTCCATTGCGGCGAATGGCCATAATGGCATTATTGATGTCGTCCTCACTAGTTGATGCAGAATTTACATGCACCACCTCAAAGTCCACAGGAACACAGCTGAACCTATGATTCAACAGGAAAATCTTAATGTAGCAATTCATTATTATCAGCCACGATTTATATTTGTGTAAATTATTGATTTGACAAACCTGAAGAGCTCTCGCACATGGTTAAGCAGTTCTGGTCCAATCCCATCTCCAGGAATCAATGTTACAGTATGCCGGCCTCCATACTTGGCAGGAGGAGGCTGCAAATAAACAATGAATAAACATTCAGTGGGCGTATTACATGTGCATGATAATCCTGGAAATAACTGAGGTAAATGACAACATGCTTTTATGTTACTCCATACTTACTATGATTCGTCCCTTCAAGACAGACGAGGGTCAGATGTGAAGAAACAAAAAAATTACAGTTAGTGATAAGAGAATTAAGAACCACAATTCATTCCTTAAGCTCACGTTTTCTTCTAATCAATTGTGCAATAAGATAGATAGATAGTATCAGCTGCCAGGTAAAGACAGCAAACCTACTGCATATGTAGGTTTTCCTCTTTGACTGTTGACTGCTGCGCCAAAGACCTACAAAAAGAGACCCATGTTTCAAAACCTAGTGCGCTGCCTACTTAGACAGCTACATCTGATGACTACAATGCCAAAAATGTTGTCTACGTTAGCTGCTCACTACGTTTTAAACACTGCCAATCGCTGAAAGCATCCTGAAACATCGTCGTATTTGCATTGATTAAACGTCGCACTATAATTTGAAATATAAATGAACAAATACGTAAGTGAATTGTTTGAGCTAAAATGCAAGTGTAATGCGGACTAACACTTAGTATATGCTGTTTAGCCAGCTCTGACCTTGTCTTACTGAAATGTCACGCTAATTTGCAGCGCTGATTAACAACCTCGTATTATTAGTTGCATTTACACATTTTCTCTGCTCATATTGTGTAAATAAAATGCCTTGCCTTTGCTGTATTTCCCAGCTGCCTTCCCAAGATTGGTTTGAAAGCTTTAGTAAGAGTGGCCATCATGATAGTTGTATGCTTGTGCGTTATATCCCGGACTAAACACCGACCGGTGGAGAAAGGTTCCGGACTACGTTCTTTCAAATAAGCCTTTTAAATTACTTTAAAGATTATATTAATTACTTTGCCACTGACAAATTTACACTCATACAGATTTGTTATTGTACGTTTAAATACGTTGTTCTGATATAATGTCTCAAAGCTACATTATTAAAGAATGTCTAGTACTACACACCTACTCTCTATTTATATAAATAACACTATTTTGCATGGATCATGCGTAATTTGCATTTAAGCTAAATAAACATTTGGAGCGTACGAGATGATATTTGCATATTGGGTGGGTGCGCACAAGAACCACATGCTCATGATTTGCAACCCAAACCGGAAGAGTGTCATCGGGATTTGTGTATTGGCAACAGATGAACGCTTCTGGAGGACACCGAACAAGGATATTTCGTTATTACGGAGTTGTGTGCTCGTTAAATGTTCGTTGCAGACTAATTCAGTCGACACTGTTTTTAAGATGAACGTGCTGCGTTGAGCGCGAGTAAATTAGTCGTGACAGAGTCAAAGCACAAGGGAGAATCTGTTTCACAAACCTGCTGCACAGGGTCACTGGCTGCAGATTTCAGGTTCGGCGGTATTTTTAATTTTAAATACATGTGTGTAACGTGTGTTTGGATTCCATGATTGCCATCCGATTTTTAAATAGTTGTTTGAGCAGCCTACAGTATGAATCTGGTGTCTAGGTATCAATTCCAGGGAGGTTTGCTTTCCAATTGATTAACAGGTCTAATGTCATATAAGTAAAATATTTGGCAGAAATGGGCATCAAACTTGCTCAAAAGTATGTATGGACTTGGTTTGAGCAGCATTTCCTGAATGACCAGCTGCTCAATCTAGTTTTTAATAGTTGTCCTCTTGGGTTTAACTTGGAAACTTGTGCTCTGTTGCTGCTTTATAAACTTAATGTTCTCACTTACTCCAAACAGAATCTGATCACATTGGCCATTTGCTGACCAGATTTTGACATCTGTTTACCATGAGGTTTGCAGGTCTGTGCATTTCCATGCCTCTCATGTACTGGTGAAGTTTCCTCTTAAAATGGCATTCAAACATTATTTCCTTCCTCTGTATTCCCCAGTGGCACTCCGTGCTGTTGCTTTGGTTCTTCTGTTGGGCTTTACCTGGCTTCTAGCAAGTTCTATTCTAGGAGGGGATGGGAACTCCTTGATACGAATGCTGTTTAGTGGTAAGGATGTTACATGTATTGGTGGTTGACTGCTATAGGTTTTTCATGGCCGATGCCAATGCTATTATCTTAGTGAGTGTATGTATACACACACACACCAGTGTTATTTTAGTATCATTCAGATACTATTAAAGTTTTAAATATTGTTTAGATACTTTTAGATTTTCCATTTTCCTTTTAATTCAAATTAAAGTTTCAGTAATTCACTTGTGTGTCCAGTATTTTGTAATATGTAATTTCTGTGACAAGTCCTGGTTAGTCTTAACGCAGTACATGTAGCAAGCAGTTTTTTTTTAAACAAATAGATAAATAAAAAGAAAACAAGTAGATAGTATAGAAACAGAGTGCTTCACTAGAGCAGATGATGAATTTCGACCACGTGACACTAAACAGTGCTGTGAGATCCTGTGTGAAGTGCTTGAATTCAGCGAAGAACACTAACTGTTTACAGCCAGATGATACAGCGCTGACAAACAGGAGAAACACTGCGCAACGATACAGTTAGAAGGCTTTTTAATCTACAAATCACCATCATTTACCATAGATTTACTGTAGAACCACTAACTGCACCACGGTATTGTCGAATTTTATTATATTATTAATGTAGACATGTATTGAAGGAGGAGTAATGGAATATAATTACAGTATTGTTTTGTGATTAATGGCGTTTATGCATTTATACTAAATGTATTTAAACTACTGTTTTTCATACAGATACCTAGAAGCCATATTACATTTTTACCATGGTATTGAGGTGCTATATTTGTGGTTTTAACTGCGATTATCATGATCTAAATGTATGCTACTATGGAAGACCAATGGTTAAAAAAACGCCTCACATTTTTACAGATATAACTGGTTTCAGATATAACTGAACATAAATCTAAATCTGCATCCTAACTCAAGCTACTATCAAATGTGTATTTCGAAGAGGATTTTGTTATTAATATTATCAGGCAACACAATCCTGTTTCTTGATTTGAAACAATATTACTCATTAGAACATGCATGTTACAAACCCCTCTAAGTCAAGTGGAAATAAGGGGTGCAACATCAAAACACTGAACATGTACTGGAAAACAACCACACACAACCCGTTCTGAATTCAGCAAAGTGTCTGTTTATTACAGTGACAAAATATTAACCCAGAATATTAGTTACATAAATTAACAAATTATATACACTTTGTAACCAAGGAAAAAGGTTCACAAAAGAACGGGGAATAGAGAGAAGAACGGGACCGTGCCGAAACAAAACAAATCTTACTAAAAACAAAACAGAGAACTTCTAATCTAACTCAGCCATCAATATTCAAAAACAAACCCCTAAATTATATAGAAAGAAAAATCTTCAGCATCAAAGACGCCCTAAATAAACTACTCTTACTACCAATCAAAAATACAATAAGGTGGCACGTGTCACTAAACTAGTGTTCTATACACAATTGAAAACTCAGTGTGGCACATGTATATCACGTGATATCTTACCTGTTCTTTTTATCTTCCCCCGTTTAGTAATATTGGTTTGACAACCAGGTAGCAAAAACGGTGAAAACCCCAAAGAGAAGAAAGATGGAATGAGCCATTATTCACTAAGTTATCAAAGAACACAGACTTTACCACGAGCAGTATCCAAACATCAAGATCTTACAGGGCAAACAAACAAACACGCAAGTGCTATCACAACAGGTCGACAGAATGAGTGCGCTAGCGTGCAAGAGAACTGCCGCTTCCCGCACAGGTGCAGTCTTTATAATCAAATAGCGCACCCTCATTGGTGAAGTTGTCACTAAGCATCTTGATGATTGAAAGAGAATTAGACCACTCGGGTACCCGCGTCGCCCTGCTGAAAACGAAAGTAAAAACAGAGAAAAGGGGGAGGGAAAGCAAACATCGTACCCAAAACACATCATAATTAACTTGGGATGTAACAATGCAGTACTAAGAAATGTTTTTTTTCTATTAAGATACTTATTTTGTTAAGGAAAAATGACTGGAAAAGTGTAAAGAATTCAAAAATGAAGTGTTTGCATGTTTCCGACCATAAAGAATAGTTTAAAACCACAATTAATCGTCTGGTTTTTACAACTTTCACATTGTAGCAAAAATTTGCCTTTAAACTTGAAAGAAATTCAAATTTGATATTTATCATGATAATTATCGATATCGACTGATATGAAAAAAAAATATCGTGATAATTTTTTGTCCATATCGCCCAGCCCTTATACACACATATATATATATATATATATATATATATATATACAGTGGGTACGGAAAGTATTCAGACCCCCTTAAATTTTTCACTCTTTGTTATATTGCAGCCATTTGCTAAAATCATTTAAGTTAATTTTTTTTCCTCATTAATGTACACACAGCACAGCACCCCATATTGACAGAAAAACACAGAATTGTCTCTATATATATATATATATATATATATATATATATATATAAAAGATTGTAAATGACAGAAATTATATCAGCCAAAGAGAAAAAAATGCCAAATATCAACCATGGTGATAATACCATGGTCGACCACAAGATTATGTAATATTATGTAATCAGTCTCAGTGGCTAATGCCGAGTTCACACTGCACGATTTTAGCCCGATTTTTCACTCGCCGACAGGTTTTGCGAAATCGCCGACAAATGCCAGAAATCAGAGGCAAATCGGTGCTCGTTCACGCGAGTGACAATCACGCAGTGTGAATTATCAAAGACGCGATCTGAGGGAATCGCCCACAAAATATTTGGCATGCTAAAACATTCACAATCACGCTGTGTGCAGTGATTTCTGACTGAAAACTACATCGACATGACCTACAGCCAATGAGAGACCAAGATACAGGGCAGAGGGAAGTTCGGGGAGGAGTTATAGACCAGAATATCAGTATTTTAATAGCGATATGAACAATTATATCATACAGAAACAA